TTGCCAAGGCCGCATTGCAGCGCCTTGATGGCAAATCTACGCTCCTACTTGCACACTACAGTACCAGCTCCGTTGACGGACGACGGGGTAGCGGTTGCCGATCTCCGCTCCTATCTTGCGAAGATCGACCGCGAGCACGCCACCCAAAGGTACGCTGAAACCGACGCACCTTTGCTCTATATCCGCATTCAAATCAGAAAGGCAACCTGTAGTGCCTTGATTGATTGCGGAGCGTCTCGCAACTTCATGAGTTAAGCCTTTATGCCCCGCGCAGGTCTTGGCCCGCGCGTTCGAAGAAAGACGCAACCTACGCATGTTACACTCACGGACGGCCGCACGCAAAAGTCAATTGACCGATGCGTTGACCGCGTTCCGGTCTACTTTGCGCCACTTGCGTACGAGCCGGTGTCTTTTGACATCCTCGACACCAAGTTCGACATGATTCTAGGCATGTCTTGGTTGCGTAGCGCCGTTCATCCGGTAAACTTCCATGACCGAACCGTTCACATCCGTGATCGGAACGGAGTGTTAGTCCCATGTACGGTCGCGACCCCTCACACTTCGATTGCTTGTCACGTGGTTTCCATTGCGCGGATTCGCGACGCCATTGCTCGGAATGACATCGAGGAGATGGGCCTTGTATTCTTGCATGCTCTCCCCTCGCCGGACGGACCAGCCGCGTCACCGCCGGACCCATGCATTTCTCACCTCTTGGACGAGTATAGAGACGTCTTCGAGGCTCCCACCGGAACGGTTCCGGATCGGCCCATACGTCACGGGATCACTCTCGAGGCTGACGCCGTCCCTCCGTGTGGATGTATCTACCGCATGAGCGAAGAGGAACTCGAGGTGCTTCGTGCACAACTCGATGATCTTCTCAACAAGGGTTGGATTCGCCCTAGTTGCTCGCCATACGGTGCACCTGTTCTCCTCGTCCGGAAGAAGAACAAAGATCTACGGTTATGCATCGACTATCGAAAACTTAACGCACAAACCGTAAAGAACGCTGGCCCTCTCCCTCGGATTGATGATCTCCTTGAGCGGTTAGGCAGCGCGACGTACTTCTCGAAGTTGGATTTGAAGTCAGGTGGTACCAGATTGAAATCCAGCCTCAAGACCGGTACAAGACCGCGTTCAAGATGCGGTATGGGCATTTTGAGTGGGTTGTCATGCCATTTGGCCTCACCAATGCCCCCGCTACGTTTCAAGCAGCAATGACGACTGAGTTTCGMGACTTGCTCGATCGCAGCGTCCTCATCTACCTTGATGATATCTTGGTTTATAGTAGGACGTTGGACGAGCATATCATACACCTTCGCGTTGTCTTGAATCGTTTGCGACTAGCCAAGTACAAAACGAATCTCGACAAATGCGAATTCGCCAAGCAAGAGTTTGAGTACTTGGGCCATTTTGTCACGCCGAAAGGCATTCGTCCCTTARCGGACAAGATCCAAGCCATCGTGGACTGGCCGGAACCCCGTTGCACGAYGGATGTACGCTCTTTCATGGGATTGGCTGGATATTATCAGCGTTTCGTCGAGTCATACTCGAAAGTGGCCGCTCCTTTGTCGAGACTTCAGTCCCCGAAGGTGCCCTTCGAGTTCGACGACGTAGCCCGTGGCGCGTTCACTACGTTGAAGGCCGCGATGCAAGCCGCACCTGCCCTCCGTATATATGACCCCACCCTACCCACCCAAGTGACTACGGACGCTTCGGGATACGGTATTGGKGCGGTGTTGGAACAGTGTCACGAGGACGGTTGGCATCCGGTTGAGTACTTCTCCCAGAAGGTGCCTCTCGTCAACACTCTTGATGACGCTAGGAAGAAAGAGCTACTCGATTTCGTCACCGTCCTCAAATGGTTCGGCCACTTTCTTCTCGGCCGTCGGCGTTTTAAATGGAATACGGATAACAATCGGTTGACATTYTACAAAACGCAGGACACGGTCACTAGTACGATCGGTCGATGGATGTATTACATCGACCAGTTCGATTTTG